AGGGGAGCGGTTGGGTTTGGTGATCCTAAAGGGCTTTTCCAACCTAAACGATTCTATGATCATCTGGGCTGCAGCGGGGCCAAAAACCCAGCCAAGACCACAGCCCCTCTGTACAAGGCTCTGAGGGCTGGGGAGGGACCATTCCCTTCTGGAGCAGCACCCAAACCTGGCAGCATGGCCTCCCTGCCGAGGCTGGATGAGCAAGTGGGGACGGGACAAGCTCCCCGGCCACACAAACCCTGACTCAGTCACCACCCAAGCAGGGCTGGTCCACAGAAAAGTTGTTAAAATTTCAGTATGGGCTTTCAGGGCAAAAATAGGCAGGAGGGGTTGTGCTGGGTGAGCCCCAGCCCTGCAGTCCCCAACGCCTCTCCTGTAGTATCTTGCGTGGCTACAAGATGGCAGTAAAGCCCATGGCACAGCAGCAGCTCACCCAAAGCCACCTTGGGCACCTGAGCCTGGAAAAACAAAGACAAAACCTGCTTCTGCAGGCCCACCCCAGCCTCAGGTCGGCACCTCCAAACACCTCCCACACCCCTGTTTCTGGTTTCCACCTTGGGCGACCCCTTCCCCTTCTGCCAGGAGCAGCCTGGAGCACCCAAAGTCAACAGAAGGCCTACAGGATACCATGGCCTTCAAGGCAGGACCACGCACACCTCCACATGCACGTCCCTGTGGAAAGCAGACGGTGGCACAGTATCACAGAGGAAAAGAATTTCTCTACAGAAGCGGTTTATGAACATCAGACCTTTGCTGGCCTGCTGACCCCCTCCCTGGTCGTGTCCTCCTCCTCTTCACTGGCCAAGAACAGCACGTCCACAGCTTTCCAGAAAAACCCACCAGAAGAGCACAATTGTAGGGCCACAAAAAAAAAAAAATTGGCAAGAGATGTGTGGGAAGGAGACCGCTCGCATTGCCCAGGCTGCAGGACCGCCAGGAGCCTTGGTCCTGGCCAAGGACCCAAGGAGCAGAGCACGGCCCAAGCCGGGGGTGGTGTCAGCAAGAGGCCAATATCAATACCTGAAGCCAACTAAACAGACCTCAGGAACATCCACCTACCACTGCATTGCTGATTTAACAACACGCTCTGGACTCCACACTTCGGGATCTGCTCCCCGCTGCATCCCCAAGGGAATTTCAGGGATTACATTTTGGCATATTCCATGGGATTCCAGTACTCCTTAGCCCAGAACATCTGCCTAGGGAGGTGCTGCGGGGTGACCCCCTCACCTCCACACATTTCACGAGGTCCTGGGTTCCTAAAGCTGAGCTCAGCAGGGACGTGGGGCCCCGGCAGAGCATGCACGCACGCACATCACGTGCTTCTATTTACTGACTCACAGCGTAACCACCTGGCAAAACAACGCAGCCCAGGGATTCACCGCTCCCAGGTTTTATAGAGGAAAGATTCATCAGCTCAGATGGTGCCAAAGCTTCCAAAGCTGCAAGTATTAAGCACTGGGGGAAAAAAAAAAAAATTGAAATACAACACTTTAAAGCACAGCCCTTTGGAGACTTCTAGGTTCAGCACAAGTGTTGTTAATTCCAGCACCATGCAAGCAGCCATTTCCTTCTGTTCAGCATCCTGAACACCAAGAGTTGCCTGTAGACCCCAACACCAGGCGCTGCTTGACAACAGCCACTTCTCCTCACCCTTCAGCCCCAATCTGCCTCCCCAGGAGCTATAGCTCCTGTTCTGGAGGCCACCCGGGCTCCACTGCAGCATTCAGGCATCAAGGTACCAGCAGCCTTCCCAGATCCCAGCCAAAGAACTCGTCCAGCCACGCTGTGTGCATTATGCACACCAGTGTGAGACTCCACCATTACCAGTAACATTGAGATTCCCAGTTATCGAAGTTGTGGTTTTGATACCCAGAGCCCCTTGAAGCTCAAGGCACCCATGAGTGGCGCTTGTCAGCATTTCACTGGTGACTTCCCAACACACACCCTGAAGTATCCCATGAAACATCGATAGCGCAGGGACACAGAGATCCTAATTACCAGTGGGAACAGACAACCTGCTCGTTATTTCACTCAACACAGGTTTTTACCGATTGCCAGATTATTTCAAGTCCTGGTAGATCATAGCCATGAGTTCCAGTCAAGCAAAGAATGACCAAGGCCTTTCCATACCTGCAGCTTTAATGGTTGGGGCAGTTCCAGAGCCACCTCTTCAGAGTGCAAGTCTTAAACAGCTTAAACCAGCAATAAAAAGTAAAATATAAATTTTTATTTAGAATTAAAGCAAATACTTCAGTATCACAAACACAATATTAAACTTCAAGAAATATACTGCTAATTTGGAGGGAGCATTTATTTGCACAACCACAACATGCGCACAAATCCAGAAAAAGATGTGGAGTCTGAAATTTTCAACATCTCACCACCAGAGCAGTTGGTCACAACGTTTCGTACAGAGTTATATTATACTGTAATAGATGTTGACAAAATTTCTACAGAATCATCTTTATAGACAACAAGAAAGCTCTAAGAGGCAAACATTGCGATCTATTCTTCTTCTGAGGAGTCTCTCTCAAACGTGTAGGCCATGAAGCAAGCATCTGGTCTCTTGGGGACAAGGGGATGCCCTGGTCTCACAATCTCAAAGCCCAAAAAGCTGAAAGTACGGAGCAATGCAGCTAGAAAGAAAAACCAGCAGAAAACAGGTTTCACCCATGTGATACTGTACAACAGTACCCCAAACCCAGCGTCACATCTCCAGAGTCGGGGCTGAGTTAGCACCTACCTCTATCATCTCGGTTCTTGTGGAAACAAATGAACACATGATCAACTCGAAGCTGTTCTTCAGCAAACTCTAGAAGAACTGCGAAACTGCAAGACAAATACAAGGTGTTTCAGTGCACATCAGCAAGCGTTGCCTTCAGAAACTGTTCACGAGGCCCTGTGAGCCCATCCGCACGTGAACTCGTAGGCACCAGGAAGCAGCTAGGGCTGGAGACTCACACCAACAGGAAATCCCTGAGCCCTAGGTTTAACTTGAGGCAGAAATCAAGGTTTTCAGTACCACAAAACCCATGTTTTTCTGTTGCAGCTGAAGGGAGAACTGCAGGGACAGCCTCGGAACCAGGCTGGTGTTTTCAGTGGATTAAAGTGGCCACCCAGTACGTGGGAACGCAGCTTGAAATCACAGCCCTTCTGGGTGGTTCCACCTGACAGAAACGGGTAGAAGCAGCCCTCAAACCAGGATTGCTTAATTGCAGCCTCTCACAAGAGAGCATCAAGCAACGTAATTAGACTTCAACCTTCAGAACAATGGAAGCAAAGAGCAACATTATCCCACCCTACCACTAGGCCTTCAAGACAGAGGCAAGTGAAACCACAGCTGCATTTTATTCTACCTACCTGTCTTTGCTCCCTTCAGGCAGAGCACCACTGGGAATTTCTATATAGAGGTTGTTGTTGTTCAGCACTGCTCTCCAACTAATGTGTTTGGCATCTGTAAGCCTTGACTGGACATTCAGAATTCTTGTCCTGTTATTAGATGTTAGTTCTTCTGTTACATTCAGCCGATTATCCTGCAGCAGTAACACGTACAAAGTTATTTCCAATTCATTTCGGAGAAGGGATAACGCCCATTTAATAGGCTTGAGGCGAGAAACGCATTCAAGCGCATCCCAGCAAGCTGCTCATTGTTATTCATACTCACCGAATAAAATAAATTAGCTGAAAGATTGTGATCCCTCTGACTATTCCCTCGCCCACCTGGGATCTTCAGGGGTGGGTGAGGGACATCAGGAGCACCACCGAGGCCCCGGACCCAGGTTACTACAGCAATTGAAGGGAACCCTGGAACTAGAAAGGGATCACAGTTAGAGAGGCAAATGGGTGGTGTTAGACAAAGCCCTGTGAATTCTAGGTTTTAAACAGTGATCAGATAGAGAGATTTGGAAAAAAAAAAACCTAGGCCAAGGGAACTCCTCCCACTGCAACCTAGGGATGTGGCAAGACAAAGGACAGGAACACTGCCTCGCACCCAGACCCAGCAGGGTCAGAGAGCTCCTGCTGCAGTATTTTGAGGGAAAGACTAAGCTGGAGATGGAAAATACTCTCAAGCTTGAAGTGAGCAAGGTGTATTTCTACACCATGGCAGCAGGATGCTTGACCTGACCTCAAGAGAAGAACCATTCTGCTATCCCATACACAAGACCCCATTCCCCCCCACCTTGTTCTCCCAAGTTATCATGAGTATTCTGGCCCAGCAAGCTAGGGATCAGGTTTTTTTCCCCATAGAATCATAGAATCACTTTGGTTGGATTGAGATAGAGTCCAACCTTTAACCTAACCCTGCCATTCCAATGATACAGGGCCCCAATTACCTTAGACCTTTGCAGCAGCACCTGTGCTTTAAGGCCACAAAATTACACGCAAAAGTCTGACTGATGTTGCTACCTCAAATGCTTTCATCAATGCAGAGCTGGGAAGCAAGCTCACCAGTTTTAATTCCGAGACCTCACCTGAGTATTTGAAAACCTAGAAGCCTTTCTGCTGAAATCTTCAGAGCAATTTTAAACTGCTGGGCTAAGTTCAGTACTTAACCTTAAGAGCGTTACCCTCTTAAGATACGAAACATATTTCTTGTATGCATGCTAAGTTTCAGCCCCTCCATATAAGCCCGCTTAAGCGAATAAACCTTCTACTGTACTAAGAGCAAAGGCTGTGCTGACTGGCCCCTCCCTCTGCACCATCCTTCACCCTGCAGGCTCGCTCTTGAGTTGCGTCATCTCAGCAGATGCAGCAATCGAGGCCCTTAGGGAAATTTTCACAATCGTCCTGTCTGTGAGTGCCAGCAGCCATTTGCAAATCAGAATAAACATGTACAAAATAATCCACCATTTTGCACAGTTCGTACGAGTTGAATTTTTTTTTAATGAGCGTGAAGCTTGCGATGAATAATCCATATTAGGAAGGCACTGAATGGCCATATAGGTCAAATATTATATGCTGGAAGGCATTAGTAAGCAGAGCAGCTGCAAAGTTTTTTTTTTAATAACATTAAAATTTGTGCTCCCTCAGTTAAATGAGTGTTCGATCCGTTATTTTAGGCTCTTTGAAAGACAGCCACTTTTCTTCAGTACCAGCATTATTTAGTTTATCTCAAAATGACTGTAGAGCTACGCATTCCAAATTACCCTTAAAAATAAGCTTTTGAGCACCCCGTTCAGAAGCACACAGTGCCAATCCTTTATACAATCTCACCTTTCGCCTGATGAAAGGCGCTACATAATGAAGGCTGCCCACACTTTGCAATTGAGAATGTATTTTAGAGCAATGTTTGTGTGCACTTCCTCTTCTTGGGAAAAAAAAAACCCACCTTTAAACAGCAGCCAAGTATAAAAACGGCTTTCTAAAAAAATTTCCTAGTCCATAGACGAAGTCTAATCATGGCTTCCTTCATACAAGGCAGACTGATGTCCTAAGCTTCCATCTACACCAGTCTACCCCAATTCAGGTATTTTCTTCCCAGCATCTGTCAGGATTGTTTAATCTTTTGGGTGAGTACTAACCAGCTCTCCTAACACCCTCATGTCCTACTTTAGGCTCAGTACCCTCGATTAGATTTCAGAAGGGGATAACAGCTTTCAATCCTTTAACATTTTTGCTTAATTGTGAGTTTGTTTTTGGGTTTTTTTTTTTTATCCCCTGTAGGAAGAAGGCACCTCCAGGCCTCGCCTCCAGCCGGGCTTTTGCCTCCAGGCACCTTTCAGCCCGTTCACTTGCTCGGGAGCGGCTTTCGGAGCAGCCGCCCCCCCTCAGGGCCCGGTGCGCGTTGTTCGAGGCTGCTGTGACAACTCCGGAGATGCGGCGGGAGCTCT